GTTATTATATTTACTATCAATTTAAATTTTTTAGATTACCCAAATATATCAAAATGTTTATCCTGGCTGTACAAAAAAAACTTTTGGGTGAAAAATTGGATTACAAAAATACTTATTACTATTAATTTTGTATTCATTGTGTGAAATATACTCTATAACTATTGGCACATGTTTTAAATAGAAGCCTATGATAAATTTTAAATATAAGAATTAAGATTTGATCTTTATATATATATATATATATATATAATTTTATATATTCCCATGCATTATATACACATGTATTATTGTATGATTATCTTTACATATAATTTTGTTTCTATAAAAACGATAATCGTATGAGTATCTTCACTCTTAAAGTCATTATGTATTTTAAATGTTTTTAAAAATCATTAAAAAATCATATTTTAACCAACTTTAGATGGCTGTACCTCAGGTAATTATTGAGATTAAAAAAAAATCGTATTGACCAAAGATGACCAAAAATTAGGAATATTCGAAAATCTAGTGTCAAAAATAGGCGTTGCTATTCAAAAAAAGTAATTTGTACTTTGTAATACAAATTACCAAAAACTAAAATTTATCTCAAAGGATGTATTTCATATCTCCTATCATCTCCCGAATACAGAATTCAATTTCAAGAATATCCGACTTAAATATTTACTGCTACCCGGAAACGTAATCGCATTGTATGCACTTTTTTTTTGAATACTTAAGAAACAAATAGTTCAAAAATGTTACATAATCATTTTTTTTTTTGTCATTCTTACTTCTGGGATTGAAACGATACCTACTTTTGATTTTCAAATGGCAACCTACAAAGAAGTATAGTAGTATTTTTTTTTGCATTCGAATATGGACTTGTGAGTATTATTAAAAATCCGCGCGCCGAGCCGCCACTCAAATGATGTTTCACTACTTTCCCCCCCGAACCAGACTTATAAGTGGAATATCTCGTCAGCGGATTGACAGAAATCAAAAATTTCAACACCGAAATTTATTTTAACTAAGACTGCATCTATTTGTCCCATCTATTTCCTGTATGAGTTAGTCTCTTAGCCCCCACCCGTGTTTGCTTGCGTTTCATCTCGTTAAAGTGCTTTTTGGTAGACGACTGAATTGTTTCCGATGGCGGTTTTCCGTGCGACCGTCTCGAAAATGCACCGTTCAAAATTTCGGAGCGCGAACAAATCCCGTCTATTTAATATGATACGGCAGCCGGTGGCGGTCTTTTATTCTATTACGTGTACGTTTTCATTGTTTGCACACACAACGCGATAACTTGAATATTGCGGTTTCCAGAAATATATGTAACATGACGTTCGAGTGTATGACACACGCAGTCAAAGTATTCTCCCCCGCTGGAAACGGATGTCGTCCCATATCGAACGACTGCAGTTTTCGACGCTCATTTCCCCGTGCTTTTGCTGAGACCAGTGATTTTACCTATACCTGCATAAGTATGCCTGCGCAGGTAGGCCGGAACGTGTGTGGAAATAGACCTGTGCAGTTTTTTTCAACCTTGCACAGGCGACCGGCACAAAATGTCAACTTTTTTTAGTGACACTGTACGGTACACCGGAACGTCTCCACACACGCTGGTTGACCTGCATAGGTAATGTCTCCGGTAGACCATTGCGTGTATGGCCCGCCTAAAATCCCGTTTTAGTTTTTATTGTGTTTATGGACAATAAATAAATTAATGCACGAATACAAATTTTAATATTAACCTGTATCTTTAGTTTTGTTTCCATCCTATTTCTACGATCAATAGCTGATGCAGATACAACTGTATTAAATACTAAATCAGCCGGTAAATTTAATATAGGAATTGCTTCCGCTTTAAATCTTCGACCTTTAGATGTATACCTTAAAAGTATACTAAATATTAAAATTTATGTACAACAATTTTATGTGTCCAGAGGAAGTGTGTTTGAAATTTTTATCGGGATACGATCACTGCTGTATATATCTGGAAGAGTATTTCATTCAAGTTTATATATAAATGAGAAGTTGAAAAGCTAGATGGGAAATTAAATGGATATCTATGTGTTACAATTAACCATTGCTAATGAAAAACAATTCTAATCGGAGTTCAGTTGCATATTTTTTAAAGAGCAGTAATATTTACGATTTGAAAATAATATATTTTTTAAATTTACTCGTTTTTCCTATTTATTATGAAAACCAATTAGAAAATCAAAAAATGATTTACTTAATTAAAGTACGCCCCAGTCAAATTTCCTTTCAGAAAAAATACTACATCAGAGCAAAATTTCTGGTAGAGAATTGTTGTTTACAGAAAAAAAAAAAATCATTGTAAACTAATACATTCCTCGCTCCGCGTAGACTCTAAAATATTTTATATCAAATCCAAATCAGACTAGCATCTAATTGTGACTACTAAAGCGTGTGACCACTAATATTATTGGTACAATTAAATTACTATTAATTGTTTATCACTTAATTTATTAATTTATGGATATTTTGTATTTTAATTTGTAGAAATAAATTAACAAAGACAACACTTTTTACAACTATTTGATTTTTGTTCGCTATTTATAATATACATAGAAACACTAAATAAAACAAGTATTGTCCCATATATATTATGATATAAACAATGAATATAACGCTTTTATTAAAAAAAAAACCTTGAATTTCCTGTAATTTTTTACAAAATAATTATCGGTACTATTGTAACATATCATGCAGGATGTTGATCGAATCTACAATTCTACTTTGGATTCAAACACGCGTGGCAAAAATAAAACTACTCCAAGGAAATGCAAAGGGTTTAAAACCTGTATAAGGAGTCCATACACATCTCAATGTTCGACCGATATAAAAGACTGCGAGAACAAACGGATACCGAAATTGCACGAAGCCAGAACAAAACTAAAGAAATCACTGTGCAAATTTCGAGTTGTAATAGCAGCAGCGGTTAGTCAGCATCAATTTTTGTTTACATTTTAAGAATATCATAATTTGTGAAAGAAAATTTTGTCTCGTTTGTGAGTAAGAAGGTCGTTTTTTGATTTTCCGTATATTTTTTTCTAATAGTTATAAAAAAACCGGGAGAAAATGTAGGAAATACGGCTAAGTGTATGGAGCAAAATGTCTCCGTAGTTTCTGTAGCAGTCGGATGGCTATTTCTATTATACTAGGCCTTTGGACTGGATCGTTATAAAGGGCTGATATAAAGGTCTCTAGGTTATATTTTACTGGTCTAAGAGACTTAAGACTTGCGTTCGTCATTTAATACAATTAAACACAATTTAGCAACAGAAATTATTCCAAGTACAAATAATAAATATTAGAATAATAATATAAATACACTTGACCTCTAGGGTGCTGGTGGTTATGGCAATACCAAGTAAAGCAGGGTATACGATTGGTGTGTGGCGTTTGAAATAAATAGTTAAATTATAATCACAATATTAGAGTTACATTTTTATTTCGACGATATTATCAAGACCAGCAGGTGGTTGCTGGGACTCGATTTGTGATTCCGACTCGATTAACAATCCCGGCACTATAATGGTTCCGACTCGACTAATTTATTATACATAAATAGGTAGATACGCTCGTATTCCACGCTTCAGTGTTTTGCCTAACTACAGTACGAGAGGCGCAGCAACGAGTCAGTGAAACTATACCGTTATGCAACGGCATTTGGGTTTTTGTTGTTATTTGGTTGATGATTATTGCAAAGAGGCCTGTAGTTTTTACAAAATACTTATATTGACCTTTTGTAGATGTGGTCAAATGTTCAATACATTTTAGCTATTTTCAGGTCATTTAAACTTATGCTATTTATTATTATTCTAATAATTATAATTATAATTAGTTTAATATATTATATTACTTTTGTTATTAAATTGCTGGCAGAAAAGTTGTACACAGAAAAAAAAGGACATAATATTTTTTTATTAATACCTACATTTCGTAAATTTTCCGTTTTTCCGTTTTCCATTTTATCCCGGTTTTTCCCAGATATTATGAAAACTGCTTGGAAAATCAATAAACGACTTCTCTAAATTATCATGGAGATAAAATTTCCTTTCAGAAAATAAGCTACACGTGATACATCGGAGTAAGATTTCTGGTGGAGAAGTTTGCACAACAAATCGAGTGGCATTTTGCGATTAAAATAGTCCGAGGGAACGATGGCTTGAATCTCTAGGTAGATTCAAAATGCATTTGTTTTTCCTTGTTTAAGTAAAAGGAAAAAAAAATACAAATTATTTTTTTTCGTCACGGTGGTTTGAACTCAGAACTTCTAGGATGACATAAATAATTATTAGATCACAATAAATATGCTTTAAGAGGACAATATAGAGTTATTTAACATAAATATAATATCAATATAATATTAGAACTTCAAAAAGCTATAATTTCAAAACTTAGTCAGTCCACTTAATTTTGATTTCACCAACGTTCTTAATTAGGCAATATAAATATGTTCAAAAGTAAAAAAATTAAAAAAATAGATTCGTTCCGCATAATTTGTTCGTCAAAATTTGATATTGAAATTTCATCATAAAAAAAAATACTACATTAAACTCAATTTTTTTTTATACCACATATTACTATTTTTAATGAACCTTCTGTTAAATTGTCAAGCATTTTTGTTTAGTCACAGAGTATTTACCGATTAAAAATTACATAAAAAACTAGTAAAATTAAAATGTCTATAAATAACTCAAAAATGGCTAAACAAATTTGAAAATTTTACCACTCCTAGAAAAGAAAAATTTAAATTTTGTATCTAAATGCCAAGTCCTTTAAGTCCATACGAATATTTTAAACTAAATTACAACATATAATAAAAAACATTATTTTCGTAAATTTCCCGTTTTTCCTACGGTTTTTTCACAGCTATTTTGAAAACCATTTGGAAAATCAAAAAATGACTTCCTTAAAGTTTCATCTAGATAATATTACCTTTCAGAAATGGTGCCACACGTACATATCGGATCAAGACTTCTGGTAAACATTTTTGTTACTGCAGTATAAAAAAAATAGGATAGTTGGGACAGGTGCACCGGTACAGCCACTGTTGAAATTAGGAAGTTGGGAAGTTAGAATATAGAAGGGAATTTCATATATATTTGTAAGCAATGATACACAATTGCTATCGAAAAACGATTCTGAGCAGACTTCAATTGATAGTGATGCTTTGTCAACAATATGTATGTCATATTATGATAAATAATTAAATAAGTATTATATATTTTCTTTAATAATATTTGTTTAATATTAGTCCAATTTTTCCGTTTTCCTACTTTTTCCCGGTTTTCCTATGTTTTTTCCCCATTTTTCAGATTTGCTAAGAAAACTCTTGGTAAAATCGTAAAATTACTTACCTTCCCAGTCAGATTTCCTTTCAGAAAAAGTGCTACCATTGTAAATCGGGAGAAAATTGCTGGTAGAAAAGTTGTTCACAGGAAAAAAGAAGGCTGTAATATTTCTTAACTAATACATTTTGTACATTTTCCCGTTTTCCCTCAGTTTTTTTTCGATTTTTCACATTTAGTGAGAAAACTGTTGGGAAAATTAAAAAATTAGTTCTCTAAAGTACCATTCCAAGAAAATTTCCTTTCAGGAAAAGGTCTACATCATATGCATCGGAGCAATATTTCTAGTAGAATTTTTGTACGCAGTATAAAAAAAAAAAATTTAATTTAAAAAATAAACATCTTTGTAAAACCAATACATCCTTCGCTACACATAAAATCTAAAAATTATACAATACAAGTATAAGTGTATATAATACCCAACAAAAACACTTCGTCAACTACGTGTAAAAACATCCCTAAGAAAAAAAAAATATTCAAGTTACAAAATTATGATATCAAAAATTGGCTAAGTAATTTATTAAATTCATAAGAAGATTCAATAAGAAATTGGTTATACTTATTTGTATTTGATGAAGTGCAATAATTTAATACAAATAATTTAACTTAGCTTGACAGCTACTAATATTTATGACTACAAATATAGATACAACGCTTACATGAATATTTACAGCCCCGTTTTATAATTTATTAATATTACCATAACATTATTTAAGTATATACTATGAGTAGCCAAGTTAAATTATTTGTATTAAATTATCGTATTTCAGAAAATACAAACAATCATAAAAAATTTCTGTAGCAATGAAGTTAAGAAATTACTTCACTCCTTTTTGATTTCACAACTTTTCAAACTTGAGTTTTTTTTCTTAACTATATTTTTACACTTGATTGACTGATTGCTTTTGATGGGGTATCGCTCATTTTTTTTTATAAAAATGTTGGAAATAATTACTCTATGTTTTTTTATCGAGTGAAAAATTATGGGCTTAAATTTTTTTTTTTACTTAGCTCTGAGCCGGGACCGCGGCGCTGGATATCTATATACATATGCATACTAATTGTTAATAATACCACTTATATTTATCTGGTACTTTGTACTAGATAAATATAACAAAAATAAATATATAGATTCAAATTTTTATGTTAGAACCATTCCAGTTAAGCTCTTGAGCGAATTCAAAAATCAAAAAAATTGATCAAGGGCTAAACCAGAATTAATTTTAAATTAAACCATTAAAAAGTCTCTTTCCAAAAAAAAAGATTGAAATTTACCGGTCAGAATAATGATTATTTTTCATGTAGAATTGTTTTTAAGTACTCATCAGATTTTTTTAATGAAATATTATTATAAAATAAACGCTTTTTACCGTGTAATTGGTTATGCAACTAGGATTAATTTTCAGTAGAGGTTATGAATTTCCGGAAAGGTTATTAGTATAGTAAATGAAAGGAAATGTATATTTCAGATTTTAGGGGAACCTCCCCTGGTTTTGGCATTGCGTATGGGTATATTTGAAAATAAATACATTTTTTTTGCCATTTTACCTGTAGTTGAGAAACTTGCTGATTGACACTCATAAACCGTGTTCAAAGAACATACAAGCAATTAATTGTTGCGCAGATATGCTGCAAATTGTAGACTGTTCCATGTTAAAAACAGCAAATCCCTGCGTGACCATCGACGAATTGGTCGAAATGAATAAACACCGTTTGCTCCTCCAGAAGAATTTCGACGAGAGGATTCGCGTACATTGTAAACCGGAAAAGAGTGAAAATTGCATTTTGAAATATCTTGCTTGCTTTTGTTGCTTTGGAAATTCCAATTTCCAAAGAAGATGATGAGAGCTATATAGTTACAACTATAGTGCAATGATATGCTTAACGTTTATACATTTTAACGTTTAGTTTAATAATTTCAATAAATCCTAATACAGTTTTACATAATATAATTTGTTGAATATACTTTTACGTTTTAGATTCTGATTGGAGCGAAGAAGCTTATGGTTTTATAAAGATGTTTATTTTTATTACTTTTTTTTTTTTGTAGCACCTTTTCTGAAAGGGATTCGATGTGGGAAGGTATTTTTGTTTTAGAGAGGTCATTTTTCGATTTTCTCAGGAGTTTTTTCATGAAATGAGAAAAACCGAAAGAAATCTGAGGAAAAACGGGAAAATGTACGAAGTATTAAATATATTATTACGATTTTTTTTCTGTGGATAACTTTTCTAACAGCAATTTCGATCCAACTTAATAGTGAATTCAAAATTTTACTATAATTTTTATAAAAATTCAAAATAGCCATTTTGTAAAATAGATTTTTAGAAAAATTTTAGTGGTTGAAACTTTTATTAAAGTATGGTCTTTTATTTTCTATGATTTTTTGAAGTTTTTATAAATGTGACTATTACATATCTATTGTGGTTACTCAGTTATTAGTTATTAGTCAGGATTTTCCTAATATCATGCAATAGTATTATCATATTATAGTTATTAGGTAGTTTCAATCAATCAAAAATGGTAATTTATGTTGATAAACAATATTGTTATGATTGAAAAGAAAATTATTCAAATTTTTAATAACTCGTAGAAAATAAAAGAACATACTTTAACAAAAGTTTCAATCATCATATATTTTTTAAAAATCTATTTTACAAAATGGTTATTTTTAATTTTTATTTTAAGTCTCCCTCTCCTGCGATAATGAATTTTTACATCCCTTACAAATATAAAACGAATTTATTGCAAAAGAAAAAAAACGACCAATTAGGGAGTTTAAACCTCATGACCTTCTCCCTCGTAAGTATGCCTATATTGTATCAGGTATAGGAACAAGTCTTAATTTTATGAACACTCAAGACCTATCTTTATCAAAAAATGTAAAAAATCAAACCCCTAATAAAGGAATTGTTACAAAATGTTTTGAAGATGTAATAGAATTGGGAAGAAAAAATAATATTAACTGTTAATTAGGCCAGTAAAACTACTCTTTGAGTATATCAAAATTATCTATACATACATTTCTGTCAGATTTCAGAACACAACAGCAAATGAATACAGATAACAACCACATTTATTTAAAAATGTTTGACATTAAATTCTATCACTTATAATATCTTATCATTTTTATTTTTTATATTTAGTATTAAAATGCTCAGAATTTATTAATTTCGTCAAAAATGTTGTACAATCAAATAATGGAATACTACTGAAGAGAAACATGAGATCAGTTCTTTAATAAAAGTTGTTTTGAAATACCGTATGGACAGATTACTGCATCCTAGGTATATGAAGCATCTAAATGTAATACAACAGATGGTACTTTGGGAAAACAAATTTTAGGGGATTCTAAGTTAAAATTATCTAATGCAATGAACAGAATATATTTGGAAGAACATATTAAAAACGTCTAATATTTAAAAACGTATACTGTAATTTATTTATTTTTTGTTACACTAAATATTATTTATGTTTCATGTTATAAAACAAGTAGAAACACTTGTAGGTTCTAAAATTTAAAAAATCTGGATTACTCATTGATAATAACTCTCCAATATTAGGAACATCAGCCGATGGTCTAGGAGAAGACTGTGTTAGAAATAAAATGTACTATAACTCAATCTACATATTTCAATTATGTAGATGACGGAGCTGTAAAATCAAAGTTTTATTTAAATCACAAAATTAAAAATATACACCAGTAAATAATTATTTTAATTATACTGTGTATGTTGTAGGTACTATTTCAAATACAAATTCAAATGCGTATATATAATATTTGGAAATGAGTACTAGCTATTGCTGATCCTGAGTTTAAAAGAACAAAAAAATTACCATTATAAATATTTGTTATGATAAACAAATGTGTGATACTTTAATTGAAGAATGTAGTAAATTTTGGGGAAAAAATATTTTTCCAAAATTATAATAAGTAATAGAAATTTCAAGTGAAATTAAGTATTAAGAACATTTTACATTGTATATTATTATTATTTATATTTTATTGTAGAAATTAACAAGCATTACAAAGATTTAAAATTACAAGACATCTACATAAAAAATAATTTGTAAAAAAACCTATTAAATACTATTGTTTTATAACTGGTTGTTAAAGATTTATTTAGCCACATTCAATAATTATAATCTCATCAGTATTAAATAAAAATAAGTAGTTGATATGCCCATAGGGTTTTAACACATCAAATTCTCGTAAACCTCATATTACATGCAATAAACTCTATAAAATGGCTTTCTTTAAATTTTTCAAAAATAATAAAATAAAGTTATTTATTTAAAATTGTTTACCAAATAATAAAAAATGAATTGCAATTTAAATATTTTTAGTCCTTATATCAGTGAGTAGTATAAAAACCAGAATTTGATTATCTTTATTATTTTCATATAATAGGTATTACAATGGGTATATCTTCATGAGACACTCTGTATGTACTGCATGTTTTGTTTGATTAGCATTATTCTAGACACTTTATATAGGGTTCATTACCAATATCCAATTTGATTCAAAGATATTATTAAAAATGCAAAAAAAAAAAATATATAATTATTAATTTCATTGACAAACTCAACAAAATTTGATATGCATTATAATATTATGTAGGTACAACAATTTTATTCTAAACAAAGTTTGATGTGAATTTTAGAGAATTTTTACAAAACATAATAATGTTTTCATTTTTTGATATTATATAAATAGATAATATAATTACAAACTAAATAAATAAATGTACTAATGAGAAATTATTTAGACTGATTTACTGCTAAATGTAAATTTAAAATTTCATAAAATTTAAATCAACAATTTTTTTTGGTTTCCAAGATCCAGTGGTATAGATGTTAATTTCTGTTGAAGTCCAGTCCATAAATATTTTTTCCATTGCTAACAATACTATAGGAATAAAATTAATTCAGGATAAAAACAATTTCGCAAAATAAATTTGAATTTAAACTATTAGATATGTTTACCTGTTAAGACAATTCAGAAAATACAACTAAAAGTTTGAAATTCTTGTTACTACTGATTATATTAGAACACTGCTTGAATGTTCATATTTTATTTTATTGGCTTTCCACCTTTAATACCAAAAATATAAAATACATACTGAAAATGTTATCATAATTTTAATATATTAAAGACATAGTTTTAAAATTAATACATGTACATAATAAATTCATATTTACTTCATTACATCCTTGAAATCTTTCATTATATCAACAGTGTAGTTATTCTTCACAAATTTTGATAATTTTCCAATTTAGTAAGCAATATCTGAAAAAACTAAAATTCAAAAAACAGGGATGATCTGTTTTATTGTTTAATGATGTCAATATGGACCAATACTAACACAGGGTACTCTCATAGTTAACTAATACAGGATACATGACTGATTAGATCACATTGACAGCATATTAAACAAGAAAATCAAATCATCACTGTCAGGTCATTGATTTTTTTTAGATTGTAACATTAGGCCTTTTATTTTTTATACAATAGTAGATTTAGTTTTTAATCTTTCAAAAGATAATGTATCTCACTGAACAAGCTGTTTTGGAGTCCATGAAATCTTGTCATAATATAATCCTTTCTCATCAGTGGGTTGTAAGAACATAAATATTACTTTGTTCTTATACCTACCTACATGTTTAAATATTTTATCACATTTAGAAAAGGCAAATATGAGTTTTCTGGCAAAATTTCAAGTCTCTAAGAATATTTTGAACTGAATTACAACAAATAACAAAATTGAAAAATAATAAAAGCATTATCTTTGTACATTTCCCAATTTTCTTACGTTTTATCGTGGTTTTTCCCAGATATTATGAAAACCGCTTGAAAAATCAATAAATGACCTTCCAAAAGTTCCATCTGTACAACATTCCCTTTTAGAAATGGTGCCTGAAATATATATCAGAACAATATTACTGATAGAATTTTTATACATAGAATAGAAAATCAAAAAATTAAATTAAAAAAATAAACATCTTAGTAAAACCAATACATTCTTCACTAGACTAAAAGACAAGAAAAGAAAAGACAATAACAATTTATCTAAAAAAAAAAATAGTTTACAGTTAATATTTCGGTAAAATAAAGTGAATAAATTAAAAAATTAAATAAATTATTTAAAAACAATTTAATTTAATTTAAAATTGTATACTTATTATTTGTAATTGTGTTTAAAATATTTATGGAATCTCCAAGTTTTTCGTGTCTTCCAAAGGTATTTTATTATATACATGTAGCCTTTCCAACAATTTTTCTTGATTTTGTGTGATAAAATAATTTCTATAACGAAAACACAAAAATTACACCATCTTCTGATACAACTAACAAAACACGCTGCATAAAATTAAATATTTTGAACTTGGATATAGTTAAGTATAATATGTAAACAAAAATGATAAAAGCTATGGACTAGATATTAACTAGTAAGTAGGTAGCTACTATATTATTATATACGCCTACCTGTATAATAATACATAAGTCGGAAAATACTAGAGGTAAGTACATCATATTAATAATTTAGATTTTCTATATTACTAGTATTAATTGAAAACAAATGTATTTTGTATATTATTATTGACTTTTTTTATCTTTGTATTTTTTTGCCTAGACTCAGTCGAACTAACTCAGTTCGCTAGTCCACAAACGAGGACTGCGTCCAGTATTTGGACTTTGATTTGTTACCGATTAATTATTAGGTACCTATTATACCTAATTGTTTGTCAACTTGATTTTCTTCTGTTTTTCAACGACTAAGTCGTTAAGGTTAACTGTTTTATTGTACCACACGTCACACTACAGTACTACCTACCTACTATTTCCTTTTAACGTCCTCAAATACTATATGTGACAGAGAATTTGGCGTCCTTTAATTGACTTCACTTCGTGCGTTTGTGCTTATTTATTGTCTACCTAGCGTCTATATAAGAATGTTTACACATTATGAGAACCATTGGACTTTCTTATCAAATATTGCTAGTGGAGGATGTGTAAAATAAATAATTTGATAAAAACTGTTTCTTGATTTTTGATACTTATTACATTCATGTTTTGAATACCTGTTATAGCTACAACTATAGAACACAAATTAATAATTTTTCAAGTAAAGGAATAGGTAATAATTATTACAAACCTATTTTAATATATTCCTTGACCAAATATAAATAATATTCATTTTTTATTTTAGGATTTGAAAAATGGAGATGCCAACAAAATGTAAGAGAGACATGGCAACAATAGAATATGTGGAACCCAAAACTAAATCATTTACATTCACATCTACAGTATTAGGAGTATGTTTATATAATCATATAATGCGTTTTGATAATTGTATTTTTGTTGTAATTAGTCAAGATAATACTTTTTCATCCTTATCTGTAGCTATGACACAACGAAATAGCACAAATACAATAGCTAGTACTATATTCAATAGAGACCCAGATAATAGATCTGAATCAATAGCAAATTTATTAATAAAAAGTTTAAAAATACCAGTTCCAATCTATGTAAGTTTTAATGCAAAAATTGAAAATGCCGGATTAAAATGTGTAATTTCTAGTTTAATTGCGAATTTTAAGTCTCATCCAGATCTAATTGATATTTTTGTTTAAATAAACTAAAAAAAAAAAAACATTTATAATTTGTAATGTGTAAAAATATATTATTTTTTATAATTTTATATTTGTTTTTTTTTTATTTAATAAAACAATATTATTAATTGAATCAAAATACTTGATGTTTTTATAATTATATGAATGATTTACATTTAAAATAATAAATATATTGTTATATTTTTTGTAGAAATATATTATTAGTATTAATTATTGACTATGACTATAGAAAATAAATTATGAAAAATGTACAATTGTTACTTATACAATTTATACAAATCATGCGTTATAATTACCTAAACACAGACTTCTATATTCTAGGGTAGGTTTCTCTGATAGTATAAAAGTTTGAGCCTGGACATAATTTTGTAATTACATTTTTATAATTTAATTAAATCTCATAAATAGTAAATAAAAAATTACGGAAGTCTATCAAAAAATTATTATATAATAATAAAATGAGTTAAATCATAATTAATGATTAAAAATATTTTATCAGCAAGAATTTATTTTCAAATAAAGGTTTTTTAGAAATCTAATTGGGTATAAATATATGTCATTTGGAGTAAAATTATGGGGTAGCAAGCACCTTGAATAATATTTTTAATTCAGTGTGGTTTAATGAAGTGTCCCTCATTTCATTAGTCCATGGACATCATTTCACATTTTTTATTTGGGATGTAAAACCTACACTGAAAAAAAATATCAATGTGATATCTGCTCGCATAGCATATTATAATATACTAAGCACAAAATCAATAATTTTCATACTTAACACTAATTTTCAAATGTATTATACAATTCAAAATCGTACTTCAAATTAATTTCATTATTGATAATTTATTTGATATTGAAACTAAGGACCTAGGTCCTGAAATTTAAACAATAAAAAAATTGAACAGTATTACAAAATGCATACATATTTAGGCAAGAGATGTAAGTTATAAGCAACCATTCAAACCATTGGCGCATATTGGGTGTGAATTAAGGGGTACTAGATTAGCTTATACAGATTTGTGGAGGAGACTTAGCCTCTCACACAACCCTCCCCTAGTACGATAAAAAGCTACATTACAATAATTTTAAACTTTTATACAACCTCCTCAGTTATAAATAGAACATAATTTCGTAGGTAACCATTTAAAATATAAATATAAAGTAAGTTAATATGACTTCTTGTTTGATTGTTGTTTTTCAGAAAATAATGTAAGTTATTCTATGTGTACCGCTGAACTTCTGTAAAAAGTAGCAACAGCTTTTAAATTTGATTGCCAGTGTTTCACTTCTACTACTGATGACTGTAAATTTTCAAACGCTAAATCGGACCTATGTGCTATACACCAAATATAAAGTATTCATTTTTCAAATATTTTCGTAGTCTAACCCAGAGACCACTGTTCTTACTTGTGTTGGTGCTATCACCATTAGTTGACCCAATCAAGTTTTGTTTTGTAATATCTTCTAAGTTAATGTTTCTTAAAGTGATTATAAATTGTTTTTCTTTATTAGATTTTTCAGAAAAATAATCTGTTATAGTAGGTATACGTTTGGCCATTTTGGATGTTTAATTGATATATTGATATCTAAACGAAACAAAAGTAAGTGAAAAGTTGGAAAGGTAATAGAAGGGAAATTTAATGTAGATATATTTGTAAGCAACGATAAACCATTGATAACGAAAAAACAATTCTGAGTTCAGTTGATAGCGTTGCTTTATCAACAATATATATGTCATATTATAATAAAATAATTAAATAGGCATTATATGTTATCTTTAATAATTTGTTTAGTATTGTATCGATTTTCTCGGTTTTCCCCATTTATTTAGAAAATTCCAGGGAAAATTAAAAAAAAAGGATCAGCCTTAAGTACCTCACCAGTCCGATTTCCTTCAGAAAAAGTTCTACACCTAAAAATTGGAGCAAAATTGCTGGTAGAAAAGTTGTGCACAATAAATCGAGGGGTATTTTTTATTAAAATAGTTCGATCTAGCGATAGCTGGGTCTCTGGATTCTAGGTACACCTTAACTGCATTTATTTTTTCCCCATTTAGATAAAAAGGGAAAAATAAATGCAAACGATTTATTTCGAAACCCGTGTTTGAACTCGCGGTCCCTGACATAACAATAGGTATATATACTAATTCCTGTATCATCTAAAAAAAAGTATTTTTCGTTTTTATTATAATACAAATATATGTTTTTTGTTTATACTGTTTAACACATTTATTTACTTCCATGTAGTCCTCCATAAAAGTCCTCGAACTTCTACCCGGACAAAATCAATAATGTCACCACAATTTACTGTAGTACCACCTTTTAACATGTTTAAAATGTATAGAATTAATTAATATTTATTAAATCAGTGATAACAGGCGGTGGACCGAATGACGTAGCCACCATAGATTCATTAGATGAGGAATTACAATGCTTTTCTGAGAAAAATAATTCAGATTGGAAAAAGTTTGCTCCATTGGATACAGGTGTTGGAAACTGTATTTTTATCAGTACTACTGTAAGTTAATCATTTTATTATTTCGTATTAGTAATAGTAAAATATTTTATTGATAATTCATTGTTAGATTGAAGATCCATGTAGTCTTATTTACAAAATATTTGAAGATATAGAAAAGACTAAAGTTCAGAAGACACAGTTTCTTTTACGCATGCTTCCAATTGCTGTTACTTGTAAAGTAATAAACAACTATAATATTATTTTACATTATTAATATTTGGTATATTTATAGTCAACTATACCATCCATATTAACAGTGTACACAGATTTATTTGCCAAACACTTTTGTACAGAACCAACAACATTTGCAATTGTATTCAAGTAAAAAAAAACAACTTATAATAATCATATAAAATATTTAATGGTGTACATTTTAGTCACAGATATAACAATTCAGTGTCACGTGCTAAGTTAATTGTAGAGTTGGTTAGTAAAGTGGTTAGTTTGGGACAACATACAGTGGATTTATCTGGTGAAGCTAAAATAACTATTATTGTTGAAGTGTTAAAATCTATATGCTGTTTGTCTGTAGTCCAGGATTATGGTCACTTTTTCAAATTCAATCTTCATTCTGTGTGTGGTCTACCTGAAAAAAGAACAGCAGAAAGTGAAAATGGTAACTTTTATAATAATATATTAATGATATTTTAAATATAAATCATCTATATATGTATTATTAAAAAAAAAAAAACATTTGTTATGATGTAATTTATGCCAATGATACATTTCATTATTTCAAAAGATAAATTATTTTATTTTAATGGTAGTATTTAAGACCTAGATAGTGGAGTTACAGTGAGTGTAAAAAGTATTTGTACACCCTACATTTTTAAATAAATATTCATTTTTCTTCATACTTTATTTTTCGCGATGAATTAATACATGCGTATTATTCTTTTATGATTTTGAATTATAACATTTAACATGGTTTTTTTTTTTAATATAATTAAAAATGGTCAATGAATAATATGCATGTATTAATTTATCGATAAAAATAGAATATTATGAAAAAAAATGTACATTTATTTAAAAATGTAGGGTGTAGGAATACTTTTTACACTCAATGTATATGTATTTGCATGTTCTTACTGAGTATGCATAAACTATTTTAGCGTATCAAATGAAACCAATTTTATATTATTTTTTTTCATTAATAAATCTAAAATTATTATAAGTAAATTATAATATTATATTTGTATTTATGAAAAATCTTTTTTTTTTCTAAGTAGCTTAAGTAGCTATATTTTGATATGTTTACAAGACAGTTAACACCTAAGCTGTTTTTAATTAGCAGGTAAATAATTACACAAGTATTACCACAGTTAATGGATCAAATATCTATTCACTATTATTAGTTATTTTGATTATATGTCAGCTAGAAATATAATTAACTAGATAATAATAATAAATTTAAGTATTTTTTGAATGCACAAATGTGAAATATTTTGAATGTTTTTGTGCAATACTGTCATTTAATTTTGTAAATTTTTATGTTTAGTAATTTATATAATTCCAGTCCCTAACTATACCAAATCAATCAATATAAAAATGTAGTACTACACATGAATCTATTTAAATTATAAATTTTTTAGATATACATATAGGGCTAAAGTAGTTGAAAACATTGTTTTTGTATCCAATTAATGTTTTAAGAACAGGTAATTTGATTTAATTTAAATTATTTGTTAAGGTAAGAATGAAAGCAGTTCATCTCTGAAAATAAAAGAATGTGAAGAAAATGATCAGATCAATGAAAAATATAAAAAACAGAGTGAAACTATCAAAGAAATCCTTGAAAATTAAATTATTATATTAGTTTTTAGGCTACTAAGAGCACATTATTACGTTTTATTTTTGTATATCATGTTTTCTGAAAATAAGAAACTAAACAATGAATAATTTCAAATGAATGTATTTAAATAAAGTATATTATGTAATTATGTATTAGGTATTCTAATTTTAGTATACAGTAGTGGGTTGTGCCGAGTTGTGACCACACTCTCTTAAAACACAGTAGTTGCCATTTGATTGGACTCAAACAGGCCAGTTCTGATTTGCATGTATACTGACACACAGATAAATAACAAAAACAGAACAAACTTTAGTGGTATTTGTATTTTGTTATCTTGAAAACAAATTATGAAAAGTGGATATAAAAATGTTATGCTTATATACAATTGAAAAATCTGTCATGTTGTTTGTGTACATTTTTTTTAGCACACAACGGGTACTTATGAGGGACATTATACCTGCATCTATTATTTCAGTCCAACTACCAGGTAACATGTAAAAACAATGCTTATGCAGAATAAGTAAAACTATTTTAGTTTTGATTTTAGAGTTAAAAGTACCTATTATGAAATTTATAGAGAATAATATTGTGGAGGGAATGCCATAGGGTTTTTATATTATTTAATAATTATATATATATAATAGTAATATTTCATAATTCTATAACACCCAATTTTACCAGGTACTTACATAATATTTAAATTATACAATTTTTTTTTTTTTTTTTTGAAGGCTTTTTGTTCCATTGAGTAATTTGGTAAATAGACTCATAAGGTTTGATCCCATTTGAATTGAGTCCAATAAGTGGCATCACTGTATATTGTGGTTTACAATTGTCAGTTACAATTAGTATAGTAAATAGTAATCATTATAGTTTGTATTTCTTCTAACATAATAAAAGATTCAGTATTGTTACAGAATATGTTAATTTTTGAAGAATGCCTGTAAAATAACCTTGATAGATAATCTTTCATAAAATAATAATTATATTTCATTTAATGAGTCTTATAAATAAGTATAATACTTATGAGTAATATAAATACTTTTATTGGTCAGTGTTACTGAAGTCAATTCTTACAGGTGTTTTAAAACATAAATTTGGTATTTAACCAACAATGAGGCCAAAGCCTTATCAAAAAATGTATTCTCAAATTACCACCAATAGTATATTAAATATGTTCAATACCATTGCAAAGATTTGAGAAGCAAATGCTAGATTTCTGGGAAGAATTGTGGATACCTAAGAATTCAATCAAGTTAAATCATACTTTTTTTTTATGTACAGTTGAAAAATTCTATAATTAAAATAAATTCCATGAATCATACAAACATTTTATTTTTTGATTCATAGATGGATATTATGTCATAAAATTGAATTTACCTTGTAGTATTTTGAGTTTTACTTTTTATTCTAGTTATGTACATTGCTGAACTATTATAAGTGCAGAATGAAGCATATTTTAAGTTTTTCCTATAAGGCAATCCTCAAAATAAAGAACTATTTGTGCTTTTAAAATTTTAGACCTAATTAGTTTGGTATATATGTCTCAAAATCATAATTAAATAGTACAAGCTGTTCTGCACATTATTGAAAAATATAAAAACAGTGTTTTACCATTTTCACCTCTGTTTTTATTATAGTTTTAACTCTTATAAACATTGTTATCAAGTAATTTATTATTTTAAAATGGTACTTTCATACCTATGACAACCAAATTAACTAATAAAAACTATTTTTTCATCAGTGTTAATAAACAATACTGAATGTAATAAGTCATCAATCATTTTTCTTTCAAGTATTGAGATTTTCACAAAAAAACATTTATTTTGACTTATCAAATTTTCACTCAGCTGTAGTAAAAATGAGGAATGTAGTATGAGTAAGATATATAAGTCTTACATTTTTATACTAATATACAGAATAATTTTCAAGCATGCTCAGTGCTCACCCCATTTTTATGTTTAATATGTTTAATATTTTATGCACAAATTCAAATTATGCTATTTGGAATTTTTATGTGTAGTTAATGTGTAATTTTTGAATACTTATATTTTTCACAACGCTTAAGGAGTATCCTGTGACAGTACAAACTTAAGTTTTTCTAATAAGAACTTACATATTATAATGCAAATTGTCAATCAGATGATTTATTTCAAAATATCTATGTATTTTAATGAAAATTTGGACAAAAAATGTTATTCTACTTTAAATACTAAAGATAAATAATTGCAAAATTTAAAACAAGAAATAATCTATACATAAAATACAGTTGGTATCCAATCCAAAAAATACTATTATTCTTAGTACTTAAAGCAGAATAACTCAGAAACCTAACCTTCAAATTACGATTATAATACGTCAACATTTTCAAAAAAAACATTAATTTGCATTAAAACATAGAGGTTCTCATTTAAAAAAATAATATTGTTATCATTATAGGATACTCTTTAAAATTATCCATAACATTTAATATTGTGAAAAATGTAAGTAAACAAAAATATCGTCCTTCACTGCACTTAAAAATTCCAAAAATCAGAATTTGAAATTGTGCATAATTCAACCATACAAATGGGGTGAACATTCTTAAAAAACACCGTACATTATATTATATCTTCATAGTTATAAAAAAGGATTACATAAATAATAATAGTTCATCCTGAACCCCCTTCATGACAAAGTAATTTGTCTGCTACTGATTCCACTGTATATTATACTAAAATTGTTGACTTACTTTACTTTGAATGGATGAAAAGAGTTTAAATTCTATAGGCAATTCATCTTCAGAATACAATTTATCACTAAAATAAATTCTTCTGACTCTACAGTTGGCATGCAATTGCACTCTTAATGTTTCAACATAACCAGTGGAATAAGCACGTCTAGTAAATTCTGCTAGATCAAACTCTATCCGATTCCAACCTTCATCTAGTCGCATTGGCATTGTACAAATATATGGCTTCACCCTTGTCATTGATTGATAGTTACTGACTCGAAACCTTCGTCTTATGTTTTTATTATCGAGAATCTACAGAAGTATAAAATGGAAATTTTATTATAAAATAGTTATTAAACCAGATTTTGGTTGAAGTCTTGGGTTCAAAAAAAAAAAAAAAAAATATTGAAAAACCAGTACCATATTATCTCTTCCCCTTACTCACTCGATTTACGTTATGCAGTCAGAATATCCATTTTCTTTCGATAATATACGAAATTTCCTTTCCCAGATATTGTTTACACACGTCTTATGGCCACCGCAATATGATTTCATTATCAATACAGCGGGGTCAAAATTTCAAAATATCAAAAAACCATAAATAATTCAATGATTTGTATAGCCAGCTTAAATAGCATTAAGTAGTTAAAATTTCGATTTTTTAATTTTCCGACCGCTTTTCGCTGTACTGTATGGTTCTGCAGCAGTACGATCGTTATTTATTTACAATTTTATGTAATAGTTTTATAATATGTAACAAAGAAAACAACTTTACATAATTTATTACATGATGTATTAGGAGGCATCTTTATTTTAATTTAATATTCTAAATTATTTTATGTAATGTTAAAGGAAATCTCGCATATTATTGCGGGAAATTAGAAAATGGGTATTCTGACTGCATTACGTAAATTTGATAAGGAAAGTGAATAGAAAATATAGCGGTGGTTTTTCGATATTTTGAAATTTTTTTAAGAACTCAAGAGGCAAAATTCAACCCAGATTTTTTTTTTAATCTTACCTGTACTTCAAAAGAAAAATATTTTTTCATATTTTTTACGATCAAAATCATATATGGTAATTTGATACCCAAAGTTTTGGCTTTTTCTGCTGGACACGTAATATAAGTCTTACTGATGTTTGAACCTACAATGTCCAACACCAATGATTGAATATCATTGTCTGTAATACGTTTAATATGACCATTTTGTACACTCTTATTCCAAAGTTGTAAGGGCTTACTGCCTAAACTGTAAAGTATAGACAAAAAGCCACTTTGGAATGTATTTTTGAACATCTTGCTCGAATACGTAAAATTGACTAAATATCAATAACATATACTAAAGGATATATTATAAAATAAAGTTTAATCAATGGTCGGAAGCACAAAACAATAGAATTGCTAAAGAACTAGTCACAATTACTAATTAGAATTAAAATATATATTTGTTTAAATAAATTACAAAAACGGAAAAAAAAGTCACTGTACTTAAGTATTAAATTTTTTTTATAGTCACAATAACCATGTTATTAATGTACATTTGATAATTCGTTCAAAAGATAAAATTTGTATTGCACTAAAAACGAATACCCAGTAAACGACGATTTTCAAACATTCGAATAATAGTTGTTCGATTGGTGCGGAGTTCAAGAAACCCCTCCTATTATCTATGACTTCGAGTTTCGATTCCGTAAACAAAAAAATACAAGTGTTTCATTGCAGCACCAAACAGCAAACACAATCCACATTGGATCCCGGTGGCATATAAGCAAAACGTACATCGCTAGAGAACCCAATGGAAATCCTGTTCTCCGATTGGCCCTAATCCCAACGAGATAAAAATTGTATTATCAGTTATTATCGGTAATCAGTTAGACGTTAGTACTTAGTAAAAAGTGTTGTATAATTAAATTTTATTCATATTATATTTATTATTAAAAAACCGAAAATGATAATTCCAAAGTACTATGTAATTGAAGTAGTTGAAGGAATTGGCAATACAGTTCATTTATATATAATATATATATATATATAATATTTATAATACATAAATTAATAATTTGGTTTCCGAATTTGAGGAGTTGAATTATATGCATTAGATTTATCGTTCCAGTATTCCGAATGCAAACGAATTATGTGCTCGTAAGGTCTTTTATAAATTCTATTTAAATATTATAATATGTATCTATTAAAATTAATTATTATTTTTATTTAGTAAAAAGTTTGTATCTCAACATAGTAGTTTTAAAAAACCTTATTTAAATAAAAAAAATTACCTAAAAGTAATAAAAGTACTAATTGCCCAGCTACTATTAATTTTACAGTAAAACTTAAATCTGCTGCTACTAAAAAAAAAGATCCATTTATCAAGGTAGTATAAACAATATATAATTTGCTGGTATATTAAATGTTTTGATTTGTTTTATACACATTTTATTTGAGTTTGTGATTTTGTTTGTGTTATTACATGTTTACATGTCGTTTATTCATCAACTTGCTAAATTTTGACATTTAATTTCATTGTCAACAGACAAAATGACTAAAACTAGATTTCATTATTATTTCTCGTTATAGAATACTGAACATAAATATCAGTTTAATTTTTAAATAATGTCATTCCTCAATAATCATTCTTATCGATTAAAATAAATCTTATCACGCATGGAAAAATAAATAATTTTATTGTTTCTACCAGAATCTGGATAAGATTTAATCTGTCTCTCTCACTCAATATTTAGATCAGTAAACCTTAGGCAAAGTATAGAGTATGCGCAATCCATTTTTTAAAACATGACATGTCTATTGTGTGAATGTGTGATTGACAAAAACTGAATCGTCTCAATTACGGCAATAATATTTTTAAAGTAATATAATTATAATAAATACCAAACTAATAAAAAAAGACAGACATCATGAGTGGAAAGAATAAAAGAGATGATGATACTCGAAAATCTATTCAGAAAAAAACGAAGAAAAAAAATAAAAAACCCTCAACATTAAATAAAGTATGTAATAATTAGAGATTTTAATTATTGAATAACAACGCTAAATTTAAGTACTATTTATAAAGTTTTATTAGGTTTTGAATTGGTGGCACTT